ATGGTTTTGGAAATTCTAGGGCCAAGGAACACTTTCTGAAGCTGTTACACTCCTTTTAGTACTCTGAATTCAGAAAGCAACAGATGTATTACTCTACCATCAGGTAGATATGTGCTTTTCAAATTCATTATTGATAGAATGCTGATGACAGAATCTCTCTTTGGCAAAACGAGATTGTTAAAAAAAACCAAAACCAAAACAGAGCACTAAAACAACATTAAGAGAGGCTGCAACATTCCATGCCACACAAACTGAATCAGGGAAGAAATATAGATTAATTGCCGCATCAGAATTTACGTATAATTCCTAGCTGAAACAAAATTTTCTTAGTTAGTTATGTATTAATTTCTCAGGGATACCCCTTGCCAACAAGGCAAACCATAAGCATTATTTATAAAGAACTTTTATAGAGTCCTTCAGCACTAATATGTACCTGTCAGTATGTAGATCTGGCTTTAGAAGCATAGACTTGAGATACTCTCTTCTTGCACGATTATTTGCCTTATCCACATGTATCACTGCAAAGCAAATTGGAATTAATATGATTAATCAACTGTTTTTCATCTTTTAGAAGAAAGAGCATGAAGAAAAGAACAAAGAAAAATAAACTTTTTTTTTCCCTTGTCTTTTCTAAGGAAAAGCAACAATGTTAGAATCAAATTTGAAAGATCATGTGATCTAATGGCATGTCACTGGCAGGTTTATGTGCACACTGTCAAAAAAGATACAAGCAGCATCTAAGCATGCCACATAGCTGTCATTTTCTGTTAATGGCAATAGCAGTCATGATTTTAAAAAACAGTGGTCTTTATTGCTTTGTATTTGAAGTGATTTACTGCATTTTCTTCCACTGAGGAAGCTAGTGATAATGATAATGTATGGCAGAGTGCTTGTCCTTTTTGACAACCTCAGTAATTTAATCCTCCTTTCCTGCCACAATATTTCAGTAAGAGAAACATCTAGACCAATGGACTGGAGAAAATCCACAGCCTGGGGAGTGTGTGTGAGTGCTCTGAAAGCCTTTTATTGTTTTAATTTAAAATACAAACACAAGGACCAGCTTTTAATTTTACCATTAATATCACCTACAGTGAAAAATAGCCTTGGTTTGGAAAAAAAAATAAAAGAATGAGAAACAGGGTTTTAGGAAATTCTTTGAAAAGTTTTTGGGCATCTTATAATAAGAAAGTAGCTGCTTTCTTGCAAAAAGTATCAGCCTACAAGTATCAGTAAACTACTGTGAAAGACTATAAAAATTCAGGACGTGAAAATTGAGAAACAGTATTAAAGATTTTTTTTTTTTAAAGTAAGAAATGCAGCTGAAAGACTTTTGCTAGGACAGAACTAGATTGACTATAACCCTCTGAGAAAAAAACCACAGCTCTTGGGAACATTTTTCATTTGTTTTTGAGGGCAGGAGGAGGAGCTAGAAATTTGTCTGTAAATTCCAACATCTTTAATATTCACTCTCTTCTAGTTATTCTGCCACTGTACTCAAAAAAGCTCTTTTTCACTCCCCACATCACATCGTTTCCTTTTCCTATGTGCTGACAGAAATCTTGAACGTATTTCATACTGTCTTCTACTATCCAAAACAAACTTATTTGTACGAACAGAAATCACCAATTCTACCAAGGAGCAGAGTATTGGAATAAAGGAGCATCCCTTGCAGAGGGATTTCTTGAAGGACATATCTCTATAAAAGTCCTTCTACTGGTTCTCCAGTTTTCTCCAAAGCTGGTCCTCAGCTCTTACCTGGCCAGCAGAATCGCTATTAGAAATTAGTTACTTTCAGAAAACAGCTGGTACAACTGGTATCTGAATCATTCAATCAAAGGAATCTGAAATTTAACACCTTTTTCTCTACTAACAGAAAGCAAAGCATTGGTGCTCTATCTTGGAATCCTTAGTTTCCACCCACAATATTCTTACTTTCCTAGACAGGTTAAAAGAAGCTGTTACTGCCATCTGCTATTCTTTTGGGCATGCGATGACTTTCCACATGTGCTACTCTCATGGCCAAGTGCTCCTGGGGCTGCAACAGGAAGTGATGGGGAGGCAGCAGGGAGACACATGGACAGCTGAAGAACTTCAAAGGAGCTGCCACATCAACAGAATCTTCCCTTTCCCATAAGCATCCCAAATGGAATTTCCTAAGTTTACTAATTCTGTATCCAAAGCAACTTTAAATGGAAATTATTTACAAACCTAAAGAGTTCAAATTCATTTCACTCAGTGGAAAAATTCAGACTAGCAAGTAAAACATTCAGCACAAGAACTCCATTCAAGTCTGGGGAAAATGATTAACCATAGTGAAAATATATTTTTAGATCCTGATGAATAACATGCTTTCATATCTTAGTACTTAGTATCTTAGTACTACCTGAACTCAGAATTATAACACTGCTCCAAAGCACGGAACATCTCACATTTCTATCCAATTAATGGCAAAAAATAATTCAAAATTGACTTGTGACAGTTTGCATCTAAAATTATGATTTTAAAGTCTGTCCTAAAGAAGCACTAAAACATGAAGATTACAATGACCCTGGAACCTTGTTAAAAATCACTGCAATTCCAAACATTAACATAGCTGGTTCTGTTATAGCATATTTTTTTCATAGCTCACTTTCTAATAAAACTAAATGACTATGTGATGAAGCAGAGTTTCATCACAATGATGAAGAAAAAAAATTCCTCACAGTGTTGAGCTTTAATGAAGAAAAGGAATAAACATGAAGAAATATAACCACGTTTTCTGATGCAAGGCCTTAAAGTTTTCGTTTGAGTTATACTGAGGAATCCACCTTTTAGAATATGGATCTTCAGAAGTTTATTTTTAATAAAAAATAAAGCCCTCACCTTTCCCCCACCTCCCCTTCCTTTGGTCTACTCACACTCGTACTTCAAATTGTTCAAATAACCACCTGCTCACTCAAGAGAGGAAGCTTTCCAATTAAATGTCATAGAAAGTCTTTGCAAAATTTTGTAAATCTTTCTTCTACTTCTGCTTCCTGTTCTTTAGAACCATTGTATACAGTGATAAGGACACATTTCAGACCTTCTATCAATCTTACTTTCTAGTAACTTTCTTGCCATCTCAGCATTTTCATAGTTAAGTCTTCATATTGAATAAAATATGAATGCTTTTTGTTAACATTTATGAACTAACCTTAGCTTCGTAATTTAAGTAATTGTGGCCTTGACAAGTGTTAATTTTACTGAAATTAAGAGTCAAATATCAATAAATGCATTTATACGTGAGGCAGACTGGGCTTTGCTTGGAGCAACACATTTCCCTACGTTTGTCTGACAGTGGAACTGCCATTATGTTCACTTTAAAGCATATATTGTGACATGACTGGAAAGACATAATTTCTGGCACACAATTTCAAACCGCATTAAAAAGTTAAAATATGAGCAAAAGGCTTACTATGGTTTGTAACACCCTAACATCAAAACCAAACCATACCAAAAGTAACCCCATCAAAAAATCAGAATCCTTCCTTTTTACCAAATTACAGGACAGACTCATGGTGTGAGCAAAATTTGGCAAGTTCCACTTTTCTTTGACTTTATGGGACTGTAGTGTTTGGAGGCATTCTTGGATATTCTAATAACTCTTCCACCACTAACGAACACAACAGCTCCTCTCCTCAGTCAGTATGGCCATCAGTAGATATAATACTTAATGTCATGGGAAATCAAGAGTTATGCGGTATAACCCTAGATTGTATAAACGTCCCATTCAAGTTTCTGTTCCAAGACCTTGGAAGAAAGAAAATGGTCTTCTAACCATTCCTAGTCGAAAAGTCATAGTCAAAATAAACAATTAATGTCAAGTTACATGCTCTAACTACTCGTGGAAAGAGAAATTCATAGGATCTTGTATGTCCAGGTCAATGGAGTTCTACTATATTGTTTTTCAACAAGATTCCATAATCTTCTGGTATCTTACATGTCAAGCAATGACAGTGAAGGATGTGCAAAAGATATGGAAAAACTTAAAATGTTTTTTAAGCAACAAATCTCATGAAGCCTTCTGTATCAGTTAAGATGTTTTCAAAAACAGTCAAGCTGTCCAGTTATAAATAATATAAAATGTTTTATTTATAAGAATTAATGATTTTTTAGATTACTTATGGACTTACCCTGATTTTCTCCATGTGAAAATCTAGACGACTATTAGTTTCCTTCTAAGCTCAAAGTAAATTTCTTTCTACCCATGCAAATCTCATTTTTATTAAAGAAAATATTCAATTAACCTCAAATATTCACATACTCAAATATAATTAGACATGAATAAGAGATGCAGTAAAGCTATAGTAAACACATATGCAGATTTCATTACTATTATCTTACTGGCTTTTCAACTGACATTATCAAAAAGCATTAGGTTTTTTTCCCCCCTATATGCAGAGCTAATCTTGAGTAGAAAACAGTTGACCAATTATCTAAGCAAAACTCTGCAGATAACAACCACATTAGTATTATGCTGCAGAATACAGTCACTAAAGACTAAAACCACCTTTTAATATTGATTCATTAGGGTATTTTAACATTTAAAGAGTTCTATATTCGATACTTAAGCAGCAAATAGAAAAACCAAAGTTATGAAGCCAAGTTTTGACTAGCAGAAATAATATGATACAGCACTACCAGATTGGAAAGCCTTATGAATTACAGTCTCTACAAAGCATGATACTATTTTCAAATATCACAGCTTGAAACATATTTAAGTCTCATAATTGTCTTAAGAGTCTGAAATTTCATTCTGTATTTATCATAACTTTTCTGTGTTTTGCTAGTTTAGCTTTGCAGAGTCAATACTTAAAAATTCATATTATGCTTAGACCATACCCAATATACACAGGAATCAGAATATTGTGTAAGAATTTTTATACCTTCTGAATGCTTCTTATATTCAAAGCAATGAAAATTCAAAAAGCAAGAAATATTAAAAGTGTTAAATAGCTGTTATTTGCTTATAGTATTATTTCAATGAGGTTTTAAAAAATTTATTTCAATTGTGTCTGCCTATCTAGAACATTTGGAAAAGTGTTTACAGCAGCTAGCAAGATGAATATTGTTCAGCTCTCACTTCAGCTCAGTTCTTACTTATCTGATGTCTCATTTAGTGTATGATGCCAGAAATCCCATTTGTCTGAATGGAAGTAAGCCTCAGTGAATGAAAGTGTTTGCAGTGGTTTTGGGTTTTTTCCCCAAAGCCTTACAAAGATCACTGTCTTTCTCGGAGTCGCAGACATTAACATATTGTACCCTGTCCCCTATATTCTCTCTCAAATGGGCCGTCCCACTATAGCATTGGTTGATATGACATCTACAAGGGATTTCAGTCTTCAACTATGGGGTAATCCAATAGCTTATGAGTATTAGGAGGATATAAATGAGTAAATTCTTTGGCAAGTCTCCTTCTAAAATCAGGTTTCTAGATGGTAGCAATTTTGAAGGTCTGACTGTGACACCACTTTTGCAAAGGTACTTTTACAAAATTATTTTTAAAAGAGTGCTTAACTTGAATGTCTGTATTAATGGTGTATCACAAATAGCAAGCTGATTCACCTGCTCCAGGATACTTTCTGCCAAAAATGCAATACTTAACATCCAAGACAACATGAAGCACTCAGACTGAATCTTAAATGAAATAGACTTTAACAGAAAAAAAAAGTTAATGAATAATTGAAATACTATGAAATAGCTGGGAAAATAATTAACAGAATTACCAATTATTACAATAGTTCTGTGTATGCTATTAGTGTAAATTACATTCTGTACTGCCATAAACTATTTTCAAATGTTCTTTTATTAGAGAATAGCATATGAAACATACAGGATTAAGTATTATGAAGTAAACAGAAATGTATTAGTATTAAACATGGCTGAATAATTTCCTATTTCAGAAAGTTCTTATTAAAGGAACACTGACTATTCCCAAGTGAAGATCAAGTCCAATTACATATTTTCTCTTTTCAACTGTATTTTAGTTGTACATGGTTACATGGAATGTTTTTTGTTTTTTGCTGCACCATCATGTACTGATAGAGAAATCAGTTCATCATGTTCTTTTAAAAGGAATACATAGATTTTAGTTATGTATAGCCTAATTTTAAAATTGATGTGCTAGCAGCATACTTAAATATATTGTTATGTTACCATTTCATACACAAGCCTACTTCAATAATTCATTTTATACTTGATAATTGCATCCTTACCTCATTTCCTGAAAGCCACCTTTAGTATTTCCCAAAATACTTGGGAAATAGACAAATATAATTGGTACACAGATAAATGCAACTATAATATATAGAGGAAGTTGGCCTTACTGGCAGGCATTTTCATAAGACAGAATTTAAGAGAAGAAACAAGCCTGCTCAGGAATACATCATACTTACCATTGCTATAGTTATAGTGAACCCTCTGACCACTTGTTGGCTTTGGAAGTGACAGTGGGGTCTCCTCTGCAAGGAAATTGTATAATCTACATTCTACAAACAGCTGCTGTATTGTTTCATCTGATGCAATGCGTGACTCAGTAAGACCAAGCGATATAATTTCAATCCGGATTTTTTCAGTTGCCTATTTAAAAACAAAGCACAAACATAACACAAATTATTTTGTGTTTCTTGAAGTGTTAACACAAACCAACCAACCAAACATACATGTAAATCATTGCCAAGTTTGTATGATTAACACTGATTGATTGATTTTGACATAGACACAATGAGATTCTAAAGCCCCAGGGTTTGTAGTTAAGAATATTGTTGCAACAGATACTGATTTACATTCGGTGTTAAAAATCTTTTTGCAATAGTCATACTCTGCTGGAGAAGATTAGGTCAAGGTTATCCTCATGTACCAATGATATCCGAATCGCAAATTTCAGTTGCCATTATTTTTAGCTACACAGCAAGGTGGTTTGATTCTTGATCCTGTAACTGCTTGAAATACTCTCAGTAATATTAGGTACTGAAGCTTTCCAAATGAAAGAGAATTGTTACTCATTGCCTACTGCAGACTATACTACAAATAGTTCAATAAAAATCCATCAAGTCACCAAGTAGTTAGGCATGTAAAGTAACACTGTATTTATATGGAATTCAACTTCACTTACTGAACTTTTATAGTTAAATCAAATATACATTTAAAAGTTAAAATTAACAATATGATAATAAAAGCAAATCCCAATTGTTCTTCACCAGAGCCTTTTCTTATTATTTTTAACTAAAATGACATTTTTCTGTTGAAATTGTTTCATACTGTTTGGCAAAGTCTATATTATTTGCATACAGATAAATTTTAATAAGCTTTATGTATTTAAGTGGGAATGTCAGACTCAACAGGAAGAGTCACAAATATTTCCCTAGGTAACTGTAATTCAAAGAAAGAAAAGCCACTATGGTTTCAAAATTGGAGTACATAGGTGAGCATTCAAAGATGAGATTCTTCAAAGAGCAAACACCACGTTGGAGTTCAGAAATGTCAAAAAAATTTTTTTTTTACTTCTTTCTTTTCTTTTTAAGTTCATAACTTTATTAAAAATATTTCTCTTATATGGAAATATTTTGACAATTTTTGATTATAAACTTAAATCACTTGAAGTAATAAATTATATTGAAAAGATTAGCTTTCTAGATTCAGTGTTAGAACTGCAAGTCAGTATTCTAATTTATTATGGAGATAGCTTATATTTTTCCAAGAAAATTACATAATTAATCAAACTGAAAAGCAGGTGTATCCTACTGTAAAAGTATCCATCATATAAAACAATTTCCATTGCTGTCAAGCCCTTTCAATATTTGATGAAGTAATTTTACCCCCTCCTTTCAAAAGACATTTCCTTTTATTATGTATCCTAAGACACTTTAACTAAAAACCCAAATCTGAATATTTCAATAAGGTTGTTTTATTATTCAGTAGATTCATGGAAATTTTACTGGGATGACAGAGAAAATTCCACACCATTCTGTCTCCACTAATACAGGTACACGGCTTCAGCTGGCAATATTACTGGGATTAGCATAGAATGATGAAATATTTAAAGGAATTTTTTTTTTTCTAAAAATCTAATAAATCAAATGACTGCCAAATGTCATTAAAGTGATGGTCTTTGACTCGAATATGCTTTTCATATTCAAATTTGAAAAGAAAGAGATGAAAGCCTGGAAAGGTTACTCAGTTTCAACTAATAACCTCAAGCACTCTACATTCACATGCATAAAAAATGCAATTGGCTCCATTGTCTAATTTTACTTCAGAAACAACTCTTTTCTTCTTGCACTGAACAGATGTATTAGCATTTGTATTTAAAGTGATATGCTGAGTGGTTTTGTTCGCCCCAAAGTATTTAGCAGCTATGTCAGACTAGTTTGTACACAGACAGTAGTTTATGAATCAAGTCCAAATACAATAACCTGTATTATAAAGTATTCCTTTTATGTATCTTAAAATTTGTTTGACATATTTAACGCTTGTAATTGCATACTGTAGGCAAAGAATATTACAGTTTTTCAAGGACAGCAGGGTAAACCCAGGTATTCTGCTTTCTAACTTATAATGAAGCAAATAACTGACACATACTATTAGAAAACTGTAAGAAAAAATAATAAATTACTTCAGAGCTTAACAGTCAAGAATATTTTAAGGCCTGGCTTTATTAATATTAAACATGAATACAGCATATACAATGGAGAACACAAGCTGATTAAAAAAAGATATTTACAAATAAGAAATATAGGACTGCTTAAGAGCAGCATAGCCAGCATGTCATATTTCACTACTAATACAAAAATGGTCATATTATGTAGCCATGCTGAAAATATATGTAGCATCCAAAATATGATAGGAATTAATTTTTAAACAACCATTTATATTTCTACGATGCAGAGTGAAGTATGTTATTTAAATGTTTTCCTAAGTTGTTTTTTTTTTTTTTTAAGCCTTGGTCTCATTTATTAGGTACTATTCAAGTGAAAAATGGATAGTTTGTCATGACCAATTACTTCCCACAAATCATTCGACTTTGATGGGAATAAAGTTAGTCTTTAAATTTAGGATTTAGAACAAAATATAATATGAAATTTCCTCTAACAGAGAGACTGGACACACTTATTAAAATAAAGAATACTAAACACTTTCAAAGACTGCCTCTGAGAAACTGGTTCAGTGCTTTCATTTCAAGTGAGGAAAACAAAAACATGGGCAAGATACTTACTCTACGTCAATATTCTTTCTTTACCATTTAATATTGACTCTTTGTAATTAACACTACCCAGAGATTTGGAAGAATCACTGAACTCCTTCAACAAGCTTTAGGATTAGGTTAAGTACTAAATGCATTGGACATTACACCAGAATTTGAAGTCTCGACATAATTTTTCTCATCTTTCTGATTTTTGAGATTAAAAATGCCTTATTTAATTCCATAAAAAGTCTTCACTGCTGTCTTCAAGAAGCTATATATTCCATATTTTGGTTTCCTTTTTGGTCACAATAAAATGCTAAGACTTTGATGTGAATAATAAAATTCAAATTGACTCAAATGGTCCACAGTAGTATCCCATAGAATTAAGTGTTTTACAAAAATATGAGTTTGTGCTTTCTGCACAGAACAGCAGCATTGAAAATGCCTCACTTATAGGAACAATGTAAACAGTGTCCCTATTTTTTATGTCCACAGTCTTAACTAATATATTGCCCTTGAAAAATTCAAAATAAAGGAAACTTCTTAACTGTAAGATCAACTTGAATCCTGTCTTTACCAATGCTCAAAAATATTTATGCTTTACTCCTTAATATTTTATGTATTTATTTCCACAGTCCACTTATTCCCTTGTTCCCTTCTGTTTTGAGCAGAGAGCACATCAGATAAACTATAAGCTATTGTCCAATAATCACAAGTAATCATCCATTTGCTATCAATACTTCAATCACTATCAATATTATTTGTTTGACAAATAACATTTATTGAGGCAAAATCATCCTCTTCCTCTATCAAGTGCCAAATGCCTGTGATTATCCTATTAACAATGTCAGAACAGAGCTGCAAAGGAATGCTATCACAGGAATGTCAATCTAATTTAACTGTTCAGAGACACAAACATTACTCATTAAGTAATTATGATTAACAGGTCAACATCTTACATATACATATAAAAATACATATTACAAAAAATTATTCTAGTCCTAAAGTGTATGCAGTGACTTTTCATGTTAGGGACATCTTCTATTTTCAGATTTTTTCCCCACAATGGTGTAGATGTGAGAATAGGAAGAGGGATACGGAAATGCTCCCTGTTCCTTCTCTAAATGGATAGGACTTACAAAAGTGCATGTACTTTAGACTCTTCCTAAGACCTGGGGCAAGGAAATCTCTCCTTGGTCAATAGCTCTTTTGGAACTGGATTTACTGTGAAGGAGGGAAAGGCACATACAATCTTCCCCCAGCATCACTGTTTTTGCCATGTGCTAGGAGGAGAATGCAATGGCACAAGGCTAGCGCCATAATAAGGTTCGATGCAATACCTTCAGCTTTGTCTAGAATTAAGAACACACTAAACAAAAAAAATCTATTTGTGATAATGCGTATGTCTCTGGTTGCTGCCATTTTATCTAGTGCAGAGTCCAAATTCATAATTTGCAGAGCATGAATTAATCTTTAATATCTTCAAAGGCATGACTGACTTCCTACAGCTTGAGACAATTCAATGATTAGCTATTGCCTCTGCTATGCAAATCTGTAACATACCCACCAATGTATTGTTTTTTTTCAGAAAAGACAATTTCTAATTCAGTATAAAACACCAAACATTTTAGAAAATACTAAGTTGTTGAGGGATGTGAAGCTTTCCCACCATGACCATGACAACTATACATCTGAACTTGAAGTGGAATTAGCACTTTGCTCGTAACACAACTTTTGATCACTGGAATAATATACTTTCTTCCCTTCAAATGGCTTGCCTCCCCACCCTTTCTGAGAATAAACATAAAATTGTTCAATGTTTCTCCTGAAGTTGCATTGTTTTTAAAAATTTGATTTTGCAACTTGTCTGTGGCACTGCCTCAACAAACAGCTTTTAAAGATAAACTGTTTCTATGGATGAATAAATACAAAAAAGCAGATGTATCTGGAGCTGTTTGACTGGTGAGGTAGAAACTTCCTTAACTCGGAGTTTCATTTTCTCCCCAAGAAGTGGGGAAGGCTACATAAGCAATATTGTTGCAGTCCTGAACTAAGCTACACTCCTCTCTACTGCAGACTATCTCAAAAAGGTGACTTAATTTTTTTTTAGTGTTTAAACGCTCACCATTGATTATACCACCGGATAAAATAAAAAACAAATACCAGCTTTATCAAATCTCAAAGCCAGTTAGCTACATCAGTACCAACTGGTCACACAGTTAAGTAATTCAAATGCTCTGTAAACTTACAGTTACCTTTCATTTCAAAAGGAAACATGATCCTTCAGTAAATCAGCATGAAAGACAGAACATTTCCAATAAAAAGAGGTCTTACTCTGTACATTTTTGGTATGCTAATACAAGCCAACATTTAAGTTACAGAGATAACCTGAAATAAGTCACAGTATTATGTAAAAAACAAAACAAAGACAAATGCAATAGGATTTCTCCTTTTGTATGTGTGGATGCATGTACTTTTCTATATGTAGATCACAGGCTTCTGGTTTGATTTAAAAAATAAATTAAATTTTAAAGATTTGTATTTGAAAGTTAATCCATTTACCAAAAAAACCCCCTTAGTATAGGAAGAAATCAGAAGTATCAGTATATTATTTTCATTTAAGAGTGCATCTGTAGTGAAAAAAATATATCAAATTGCACATTTTTTTATACAGCTGTTCTTTCTATTTAGAGCTTTAATACTTAACATTTGACACTGTGTCCCCCCCTGCCACTGCAGTATTGTGTGGGGACAATATAGACATACAAAACCGAATGGAATTTGATTCTCTCTCATACTACCCACAGCACGAAAAAAATGATGCTTGGTGATATATATCACAGCTAATCAAAACTCAAATTTAGTTTCAAATCCCATCCTTTGGTTTTTAGACCTCCAGCTAGAAAAATACTCCTTTCTGCTTGTAAAGTCACCATAACTTACTTCTATGTCAATGAGCTCTGACAAATATAGTGTCTCAAGTAATCAACTGAGGAGCATTCATATCCATAACCACAGAAAATATTACCAGTCAGGTTGGTTCCTGGCTCCAGTTGATGCTTTTCCTGTGGGCTTATGCACTCAGCCTTAAATCTGACCTTGTACTTAATTTAATATTCTGACTAGTTAGTTTTATTTCTTACTTAAAAAGTAATGGGTTGCCTAATGACTTACAATCCTGTTGTTTTGAATCATTTTAAAAGCTGGTGTTTGGGGATTTTTTTGTATTATTTCTCCCTCTTCTTTCAGTTCTTACAACAAGAAGGACTTGTAGTACGTGCTTCTAATTATTACTTCAAAGTATATTTGACAAGTGCTAGAAGTTGTAAATCCATCATTTCAGTGTACTGCCTATTCAAACTACCATAATCTCAAACTTTATCAGTGGCAAAAGACAACAGGTCTTTCCTGGATTCTTCAAACTTTCTCTGTTTTACTTTAGTTCCTGTCTAATAGTGACCGTAATAGCAAACAATCACCTTAAAGATGGAGAATGGCAAATGTTCCTTTTTAATCTGAGACCCATCAGTAGTCTTTGAAAATACTGACTATAAAGCTTTAATAATTTATTTTATCTTACGCTAAGATAGTTCCGTTTCATGAATTTTATTTCTTGTTTTAAATATGCTGGTGCAGCACTTTTACTTCCCCAATTTCTTATAGAATAAAAGCACAAAGCAACTAAGGTTAGATCGAGACAAGACTAAGAGAATACAAAGCATTAGTATTTTCGGCACCGTAGAATCAAGCCAACTCAGCAACACAGGGTAATACTAAAAACCTAAAATTTTAGTTCTCTACAGTCAGATTAGATATACACAGAACAAGCCAGTTTAAGAAAAGCATTGAGCACTCAGAAGTTTCCCTAAAGTATACCAAAGGTACTCAAGTCCTGCAGAAAATAAATGTAAAGAGAAATCAAAACAGCCAAAATTTAAAATTGCAATACAATGTCCAAATAATTTTCTTTTTTGCATTAAACGCAGATACCTCATAGGAGGAAATACACTATTCAAGTAATTGTACAAAAAAGGCATAATAAAAGGAAAAGCATTTATTGCTTTGCTATACATAAGCTTTATGCTTTACATCTTCCCGCCTTTGCACAAACATGTTTCACTGACCAGCAGAACCACAAGCAATAGGTATTGCTTTTTAATGGTGTTTAAGAGAGATTTTCATGTCAAAATTAATTTGACCCAAGATCTTAATTTACAGGAGCTGATAATGACAGTTTTCAATAAACTGCTATTAGCTCAAGATAATACACTCACAGTATCTGCAACAAAAAGAGAGACATGTAAACACACTATAGAAAAAATGGGACCACCACCAAATAAATTGTTTTTGCCACTAATTGCCTTATGGGCACATTTTAAGACAACTTGGAAGCTGACAGCAGTAGATTTTATTGTGATAACCGAATGCTATATTATCTTCTGTAAGGATAAAGCGTAGACATGGGGGTGAAAGGGAGGAGGGGATGGAAGAGAAAAGATTTTTTTTAATATTTTTTTTAAAATATAAAGACCATGCGAAAGAAAATTCAGATTCCCAGTTTTGATGTCTATTTTGAGGATCTGAAACAAGTCTTTTAATCAATGTATTATACATCAAATTGATAATGTTAACTTCTGATTATTCAAATGTATGAAATATTCATAGAGAACTGTCCAAACTTTTACATTTCTCAGACTTCTTTTCTCTATTAATTATCATGCCTGGAAGCTTTTTAGTAAAAGCAGCAGCCATCAGCCTGACTGAACCTGACAAGCTAGCAAGGCCCAATTACACTGGCACTCTGTGGCACTTTGATGTACTGGAAACGAAAAGAGATAGGGGCAAATTGTATAGCACATTATGTTAATGACTTGATTTAATCCAGCCACTAAACTTTATGTAGCCTGTTAAAAAAGATGCTAACACTAATTACGCCACTTTGGAAAGGAAAGAAGGGGACAAGCGTTTCATACCGACAAAGTGAAGCTCATAAATGTTGTAAATGAAATGAAACAAAATGAAGTAATCTATGATTAATTATACATCATAGACAAGAAGGAAAGAGAAAGAAGCAAGTGGTACAGCTAAGTACTGGAAAATCTGTTAGATACCCTTTATGATCAACATATCTAAGAAATAACCATGAACTGTCTAATTTGCAACATGCAAAAAAGAAACAGTATGATCTTAAATGGCTTAAACAGTTTGGCATACAACTCAGATTTATAGGATAATTAGCATAACGATCTCTAAAAATCACAAGTCTCATTTACAGTGTTTGATTACCAGCAGGATATTTATCTCAAAAGATAAAAGGCAGTGATTTTTAATCTTTAAAAAAAATACAAATTCAATCACAATTTTCACATGTTGAATTCTATAATTAACCCAAGATTTCAAATATACCAATGCCTATATTTAAAATCCAATTTGTATCAAACATGTTGCCTTAATAGTTTATTGCTTTTGTTGCCTCATCTGCCCTTCTTGAACATGCACTTTGTTACCAGAGGAACAGATCAATAGACAGAGGTAGAAATTAATGAACCTGAAATTAATCTACCCTCAAAATCCTCTCAGAAGTGTTCTTAAATAGTTTGATAAAATAAAATACAGGATGACTAGAAATGTATATAGATCAACCATATTGTAGTTTGACTTAATGGTGATGAGTAGCACTCGTTTTAGTTCTCAGAATTACAGGTGAAACAATTTTTTAATATTTTACATATAAAAAATGCAATTCTGTCTTCAAAAGTACCTTCTGCATATTTCTGCTGCATATATAAGTGACAGCATTTCTAAATCTCTTCTGCTACTTGGAAAAAAAAAGAGCTATATTTCGCATATGAAGCATTGCTTCTTGTTGCTAGTTACTTTGTAAGATGTCACATAGCCTTGAGAAAAGGATTAAAAAAAAAAAAAAACCAAAAAACCAAACTACCTCTAGGTATCACATTGCAGCACATTAAAAAAAAATTAAGACTAACAGGATATAACAGTACACCCCGGTCCTTTAAAAGAAGGCTAAGACAGACCAGAGAAGTATTAACTGCTAGAATTATATTCTGTGAACTATTATAATGAATTTTAAGTGCTAGTTTTATATTTTTAAGCTTGTTCAGTCAATGTCAGATCTAAAAGTATGAAATATTCTTATTCTTTTAGAGAACTATACTATTTAAATACTGTTCAAAGTAAATTTTCCAAATCTGTATTATGCTGTGTCATTTTGTATATATGACTTTATGCTCATTTATTGCTATTTTAAGAACAAGTCAAGAGAATATTATGACTGTACATGCCCACAAATAAAAATAGAGAAAGTACACTGAAGTGATTGGATAATGTGCATGTACAAACTTTATTGAAAACTGATGTTCAGTTCTAAAACTGTTGGGAAGTCAGAAACAAAAAGAAATCTATGTGGATGAACTAGAAAATATATGCAAGGTTTGCATGTTATTAACAACCTCAAGGTTATGCAATTGCCATTTCAGCAACATTCAATCAAGTCAACATACTGGGATGAAACACAGTAGGTAGCTAAGCGTTGTAGATTTACTACAGGCCTTGACAAGTGAAATTATCCTTCCATTCCTCAGAAAGCACTGGAAGAAGCAGAAAAGCACATTTTCCCACATAAAGGCAACAGGTAGGACTGAACAAGACTAAGTTCTTTAAACATTCATATTACAATAGTTATCTTTTGTTCAGGAGATTTTGTGCACGACTAGAATTTGAATTCAGAGTGAAACTAATAAGAAACATCTACTTCTAAGTGTGTATGACAATAATGGAAAAGATGACAACAAATTTCCCATTAAAAAACCACCTATAAATCACATGCACGACATGGTCAGGTTAACTTCTTTTTTTTGTGAAAAGGTGTCTGTTTGAATTGGAGACAGGAAAACATACATTTGTTGAAAATGCCTTAGAATCTGACATTAGATGTAGCAAAGCTACTTTTAGAGGACACTAGGCTTGAAATATTTTTCTTAGACTTACCAAATAATTGCCATAAATATTCTGACTCACCTGTTTAATATTCTTGGATACTGGACTTGAAACAATACAGTCATCGCTGTCAGTTATTATTGATTCAATGTCATCATTTTCTTGTCTCTCATCTTGCTCAAAAAAAAAAAAAAGTAGTTAAAACCCTTTGTGTTTGTAGTCCACCTGAGACTCCACAAGAAACCTGATAGCAATATATTTGCTCTTCCAATAAATAAAGTATAAATGCCAAGTAAATCCTCTCCTGCTTGCAGAAGATTAACACTGGCAAATCAATGACCTTTAAAGTCATCTAAACTGTATTTTTTTCTGATTTGCTAAAAAAATGTTTCGCAGATTGAAGTTGATGAGTGAATGATGTAAGTCCTGTGATGAACCGAAGTATGAACAACAGTTAGCTTTATATAACAATATGGCCTGAATTTGTGGATTTCCTCTGACTACGTTTAACACCATGCACACATACAGAAGAATGTACTTTTTTTTTTTTTTAAAAAGTAGTTCTGTATGCAGGTGGATTATTTTCTAAAGCATTCAGGTCTCTTCTCTGGAGCAAATGACTTATAAACACAACAGGGATTCAGCATCGTGTTTTTCCAATTTTTCTAATGAATTCTTATGCAGAAGCTGCAAACAACATAAAATGTTAGCATCCTGCTTGTGCTTTTACTTTAAACTTGGTATCTTGGACTTGGTTTATTTCAATGATAAACAGTTTAAGCTCAGAGGTGGAACAGGATGACCTGGCTTTTATAATCTTTAAATAAATCTGACTCTAACAACTTTATGTCACAGATGTGATATGACATACTGCCCCTCTCACTGTCTGAAAGGATTTCCGATATCAGCATTGGCTGTTATCGGCAGACAAAAGTAGCGTATTCATTAAAATAGTCTTTAGAACAGCATAGTTCTAAGGGAGAATATAAAGACATTTTAAATAGAAGCCAGGTTTCCTTTAATATTTTATGAATCTAGGTCAGATACCAGATTTTTGCATTCAATTACAATACAGTTTCCATTTGGGAAGAAAATAACACCACCATACCCACCACCCAGCTTTAGCTCTAAAGTACACCAGAATATCATTTCTGTCATGAAGCTTCTCATAACGAGGCAGCTCCCACTGCTAGTAAGAAATGCTTAAGAAAATGGAGAGAGACATAGATTTATTAAGAACATACAGTTACTTATTCATAAAAATGAATTCTACCTTCTGGTTCCAATTCTTCAGTTATTTCTGTCTCATCTCCAGAGGTAACTGAGCTTTGGTCGGCCAAGTGCCCCTCTGACAGATGTGAGAGGTCTTCTTTTTCCTGTTGAATTTCTTCAGCCATCTCCTTCACCTTATCATCCGCTGGCCTTTCTTGTTTATCCTCTTGTTTAACCTTGTTAAAATAAGTTTACAGTCTTTGTAACACTCCTTGAATAGTAAAAGTTACTAAATTTCAAAACGTGAAGAGTTATGGCTCACATTCATTATACATAGGCTTTAAACAATTATATTGCTTATGCAGTGTCGCAATCAATGAGAAGTCATCAACCGCAGTAACAAATAATTGATACAGTAGAAAGACAATTCTCTAACGATGTATGTTTGTGAAAACATAACTATTAAAATCATTTGGTACCTGTCAACACATATACAGCCTGTTAGATTTCCAGACTCATTTATATTTCAGCTCTTTCAGTTCTACAATACTCAGTTTAAAAAAAACCAAACCAAAACAAAAACCCCAAACCCAAAAAAACCCCAAACCAACCACCACCACCTTACTCAGTTGGCAGTTTTATAACTTAAATTATACAATATTTTCTGTTTCAAAAGCCAACTAAAATCATATCAAAAAGAATCTGCTTTGCTACAAAACTCAAACATGTTATCTAAGGTAAAATATCTTTAGTGCATAACTTACTCTGAAGTAATCTTATTCCCTTCTTTCTTTTAGAGTACAATTACATGGAATAATACCTCATCAATGGATATAACATTACAGACATGGCATCTTCCAGGGAAGTTTGCTGGAGACCTATGCATTATTTATTATCCAACAATTCTCCTCTAGGACTGAATTTTCCGCAGAGACACTGACGCCTCACCTCCCACCCTCAGAATCCATGAGACAACTTTCAGCTGTCCATGGGACATCCGAGTTTTCCAAAACTGGACCTGAAGAGTTATTTCTATTCTAACACATTTGGAGGCACACAAAGCAAAGCAATGTTAACAAACACTTAAGAGCCTTATTCTATGAATAAAGGTTATCCTTGAAGTTTTCAAATCATAGAAAATTGACTTTTTGTCTCTTATGCTCCTCCTTGGCACAGATGATGTGTCATAACCACTGTGTTTTAGAAAACGTTTGGCCATTCTTTTTAATTCCTTCAGTGACAGAGCTGCATTTTGTGGATAAAATTTTCAGAGAAAAAAAAGAAGATTGTCATCACAACGAATCACTTTTTTCCTATTTCAGAGAAGCTTTGGAGATCTTACTTTACTGTAGTTTAATTTTTGATGCCTGACTCTGAAGAAATAATACACAATGGAATTCAAATGCAATATATTATATAAAACCGCAAAATCTGAATAGTCTTATACCTCTGAAACACTTGGAACTCTTGATGCCTTCATCTTCTGTGCAGGTTCCATGTTATTTTCAACAACAGAGCCCTAAGTTATGGGTAAAATAAGGGGAAGCCTTTAATCTATAGTAGACAACACACAAAAGTAGGTATAAATTTACTGGTGGAGAAGCATTTGGACAGGAAATTATGTCCTTTGCTTTCCTGCATTACCATTACTGTTTCCATCCTCTGCTATAGCTTCTGCCTATGAGGCTGGACAATTCTTACAAATGGTTTGGGTGAGTCAAACCATTCATCCCACTTTTTATTGAGTTTCCTTTTCTGAAAACAACTATTTGCTTTGGCATGTGTCACATTAATATCCAAGAACGAGATTCTCTGCTATTCAGAAAATGAACAGGAAAATGAAACAGACTGTTCCTGTACAGTTTTAATCTGTTGAACTTCTAATTCTCTTGCATGGACACTCTCGCCATTTCACCACAAGATTTAGACATCAGAGAAGCCCCAGCTATTTTGTTATTTAGTTCTAATAGTACTTTTGTCTCTAACCAGACAGTGAGGCTTGAATTTTTAAAACAGCTAGGGGAGCTGCCCACCCAGTAATGAAGACTTCTGAGGGAGACCGAGAAGCTGCCTCCCTTAGAAAATCCTACTTTGTAAAAAATCGTCAAACTTGGAGAAGTTACTATTTGCACAACTGAAGATATGTTGTGTGTTTAACTATATAGCTGATGTTTCAGTTTTCCATATCTAAACTCTCAAAAGATTTGATTTCACCAACATTTGCCTTCTTTTTTTTTAAGTTAATAAATACAAGAGATCGACTTAATTCTTATTTCCAGTCTATACTGTATGGCTCAAAACAAAGTTCTAGTCATGGTAAGATAAACAATAGCAGAACCACCTGTGAATTGAAAACTGATGTTAACATTTCAAAACATAAATCGAACCAAGGCATTTACAAATGGAAAAAAATGATCACAGCTAGTTTTTAATTACTGCAACATAATATTATTAACTAATAAAAATACTCACAACCTTTATAATTAGCTGTTAAAGAACCTACCTTGAACTTACTGGATTTAATTAACAGAGTAAATACAGCCTATTCTTTGTTCTCTGAGGGCAGATTATTTAAGATCAAATGAAAATTCACACCATATAGCAGATATGTTTGAGTTAGCTCCATGCAGACTCTCCTAGATTCTGGAAGGATATAGATGATAGTGCATCCCAAGTTCAGAAGTGTAATTGTTTTCACAGTGTGTGTAATCTCAGCTGATAAACCTTGTTTAAGAGATGACTCTGAACTATGTCAAATTGTGTCTCTCATTAGCACAACACTCAGGATCTGTTTGGATCAAGGTGGTTTCTGTAGAGCCATTTACATGTCTGTGCAAGTGGTACACTGTACAGACACTTTAATTAATAACCCAGAGAGCTGAGAAATACAGTGCAGAGACAGTTGATTGGTCCTGTTAGAATTTGCCCTAAGTCTATGAAAGCTGAAGCTTGTAAACTGTGGAGGATAGCAAGCAATTATGAGGGTGTCACATAAATATCCCTGTATTGTATCCCCCACCTATATGCAGTACTGTGCTATCATTCATTGCCTGGGACATCCCAGTCTTGTGCTGCTAAAATAATTGACTGTTCTTGATTATTAGTTGTACAAATTGTCCACACTGAGACATAAGTAGCCGTTCTTGCTTCAACATGCACGTGCAAAATACTTAAAACTTACTGCCATCTGTATTGTACTAAGATCCAGAAAAGATACTTTCTTGTCTGTTTGAGCTGCACGCTGCCTTGGTTTGGGTGTTGGTTTCTGTAATAAAACAAATATAGTTGAAGACCATTTATTGCCATATGCTAACCATCTTATTTTACAGTAAATTTTGAGGGACCCTAATTTTTCTCAAAGCCAAATCTAACTGCACTAAATTCAATTCTAAACAGGCAAGATGATGTAGATGTTGTTTGAATAAGCAACCCCCCCCGAACAGAGATACCTCTCAGAATTCAGCCAGAAATGGATATAAAACTCTACAGAACACCTATGGAATGCAATGTGAGTTCCAGGTGAGAAATAATTGTAGGACTGAAGTCAGTGGTATAAGTGGTCGAATGATTTATTATTATCGTCTATAGAGTGCTTGATTACTTTTCTTGTTCTGTAGGATTACCATATCTTTGACATCTTTCCTCATGCCATGCCCTTTGGAGAATTTTAACACAGAAACAGAAAAGAGACTGGTAATAGTTGCAAAATTAACAAAATGATCCAGAAATATTTCTGTCATAATGTTATAATACAAAAAACAAGAAATAATAAAGAAAACGAGGTTTATTACTCTTCATACTTTACCCTCTTGATGAAGGTAGAAATTATCCTCCATTTCCACTGGTTTTCATACACAAAAAAAAATCCTTACACTACTTATAATTTATGAGTGATTATTGAGAAGCTATTGGGTATCTCAGCACCATGCTCCAGGCACTAGAATAACAAAGAATGTGGTGCAGATACACCTACGTGTCTGTACCTATGGCTTGGGTCTGGCTGCTTGAGGATTCCTTTGGCTCAAAGCTACCCCAGCTAGCTGAGCTCTGTCTGGGTTTCTAAGAGACCACAGAAACAACAGCTGATGTCATGACTGTCATAAACTTCAATTGTAGCCCTGAAGTTGCACAAGCATGTGACTACATTTCATGCAGGACATCTACATTGAAAGAGAATTAATAAGCACTAAATTTCTAGGGAAGACATTTAATATTTATTATTTCTCCTCCCTTTTCCCTCTGTCCTTTTAGCTAACCAGTTATCTACCATTATAGAAGACTTTAAAAAGTTTCGGACACAAGAAAGATTTCAGTTCCCAAAGGAAGTCAGAGATGGTGGTTATATTAAGTATTTGCACTACACATTCTTTTACAGTAAGGACAAATCCTGGTCATCAGGGAAGAACTAAGTGACCGGCTGTAATAGGTCTTTTACATATCTTAACTTCTGTGAGTTTGTTAAATTACTTACTGTCACTGATGAAGTAAAAGGTGAAGACAGGGCTGGAATCTGCATTTTTTCCTCTGCTAGTAATTCAGTTGCCATTGATTCCTCATTTTGAATGTAATTCACTAAGTCTGCAGCCACTGTTGATCCAGTTGGTGGTAGGTAGACAAACTTCCATTTTAATTCAACTGTGATGGTACCAGTAGCATGTCTTTCAGAATCTGTTAGTTCAAAAGTACCTGAAAGAAAAATGCAAATCTTGTCTAAATTATCTTATTCTATACATATACAAGAAAATGCAGTGCAAAACTGAATGAGATTCAGGAATGAAGTAACTTAATAGTCTTCAATTTAGAAGCTAAATAGCGTCAAAATACTGTGTTTTGTAGATCCCTATATATCCAATATAATGCTGGGGACATTCAAAAATACACGATTTAGAAGGGACTGGACTACTGTGTTCATTCAAGATGTCCTGTATGTTTCTCAGATAATCCAATACCAGATAACTAATTCTCATCAACATCTTTCAAAAGATCTAACTAAAACACTTCCATGTTTTACTAATACTAATTTTTGTTAAAGAAAATATAAGGGTTTTAAAAATCTGTGAGTTGCTAAATCTTTATCAAAGAAGAAACACCCTAAATTCACTTGCAAATTTTCTCCTATTATCCATTTGTATGGGATAACTATGGAATAATATTTTATGACATTATATTTGACAGTGACATAATCATTAAGCAGCTTTTGTATTATAAACACTATAGTAAATTTGTAACTGATACCAACTTGCGGGGAGCCTTTGATGCACTGAAGGCAGGGCTGCTATTCACGCAGTAGAAAAATGGGCTGACAGAAACCTCATGAAATTCAACAAAAGTAAATACAAAGTCCTGCATCAGCCCAGAAATAGCCCCAAGCAGCAGTACAGGGTGAGGGCTGACTGGCCACAAGTAGCCTTGCAGAAAAAGAGCTGGTCCTGTTTGACAAAAATAATATAAGCCAGCTAAGTTGTGTCTTTGCAGCAAAGAATGCCAACTGCACCTTGGACTGTATTAGCAAGAATGCAGTCGAGCAGGTCCACGGAAGTTTCATACTTTCTCTATTCAACACCTGTGAGATGGCATCTGGAATACTGTGTCCAGTTTTGGCCTCTCCAGCACAAGTAAGACATTGACATTCTGGAGCAGGTCTAGTGGAGGGCTACAGAGAGCTTCAGGGCATGGGAGCACATGACATAGAAGAGGCTGAAAGAAGTGATTTGTTCAACCTCCAGAAGAAGAGGCTCAGAGGGGATCTTAGTGCCACCTAACAGGAGGGTGTGGAAAAGACAGAAACAGAGCTGCACAGCAGGAGGACAGCCAACAGACCCAAGTTGGAACATAGGAAATCCCAGCTCTGTAAGGAAAAAGTCTTTATTATGAGGGTGATCAAACATTGGAACAGTTTGACCGGACAGGTACTAGATCTCTGTCCTTTGAGATATTCAAAATTTAACTTGGCAAAGCCCTAAGCAACTTGCTCTAACGGGGTCAGGAGGTTGGACTAGATCATATCAGGAGTTCCAGTCAACAGTGATTCTAAGTTTCCAAGTGTAGCTCTTGATCTGTTTTTTTCCCCCAAAGAGGCTGATTTCTCATGTCAATTTTCTAATTTAGTTTAAGTGTACATTAGCCAAAACTAGAAAAGGAAACTAATAAGAAAAAAATGAAGCCATGCAGAGAAAGAAACCATGTTTTAAATTAGCATATTAGCCCTGAAAAAAAGTAGCAACACCAGAAGAAAAGGAGGTGGGAGAAAGTATGTATATGCCAGGAAACATTTTTATTGGAACATAAAAAAGGACCAGTAAAAGAGATATCAAGTATTTCCAGGTTACTTTTGAACAAGAGTAAAAAAAAGGATGTTTTTTTTCAAGAGTTATTTCAAGTCACCTACTATTTTTGTTTCACAGTATCTTGTCAGTTACAAAAGCAGTAAATTTTGAAAGTCAGGTTTCAGCCACCCTTTCCCACCTGACATTAAGACTAACAGGGCCTTCCTACCTAATAATGAAAGATACTCATAATATAGCAGTGTGAGAAATGTAACTGGTAAATTTGGTAGGCTTCTCAAGGCAAAAAACAGTGGTAAAAGACAGATGCAAACAGATTACTAAAATGCTAACAAAAAAGAAAACATCAATAATTGATTAGCAATTAAATTTAGTCAGTGCTAGAGTGACATATCATTCCAATTGTAATTATTTATCAAATCATAATTATTCCATACCTGGGCCAGTATAGACAACAAAAAAGGATTTAAAAGACTTTTCATACTTGTTAGGACCATGATAAAGGAATGTTTGGACACCAGGTTCCTTTAATTAGGTTTGGGTTTTTTTACTTGTGAATTTTAAAGAAAATATTTACTTCTTTTTCTTAAATCACAGAAGACATCATGAGGGGAAAAAAATCCTACTATTGCAATCCACCCTGTAAGGTACAGGCATCCTGTTCAGATTCATTGCAGTTGATGGATAATCACAAAAACAAACACCACTTCAAAATCTGAGTTAAAATGCAACAATACTGAAACATTTTGTTAGTACTGTCTTAGTAAACAGAAGAGATATTAAAAACTTTTTCTCTACCTTGGTCTTTTTGTTCTCTAATGTTTGCAGTTTAATGTTTACATTAAAAAAAAAATTCACCAGTTTCAAAGCTCTGACACAGACTTTTCACTAGCCATGACTTAAATAACACTGAGATGCAAAATTTCTTTCCAGGATTTGACTGGAGTTTAAAATTGTCAGAAAAAGCCAGTAGATGAATGATACGGGGTTTCAGAATCATAGAATAATATAGGTTGGAAAAGATCTTTAAGATCATCCAGTCCAACCATAAACCTAACACTGCCAAGTCCACCACTAAACCATGTCCCTAAGCACCACATCTATATGTCTTTTAAATACCTCCAGGGATGGGGACTCAACCACCTCTCTGGGCAGCCTGTTCCAATGCTTGACTACCCCTTCCATGAAGAAATTCTTCCTAATATCCAATCTAAGCCTCCCCTGGCACAGCTTGAGCCCATTTCCTCTCGTCCTATCACTAGCTACTTGGGAGAAGAGACCAACACCCACCTCACTACACCCTCCTTTCAGGTAGCTGTAGAGAGTGATAAGGTCTCCCCTCAGCCTCCTCTTCTCCAGACTAAACAACCCCAGTTCCCTCAGCCGCTCCTCATAAGGCCTGTGCTCCAGACACCTTACCAGCTTCGTTGCTCTTATTTGGACACGCTCCAGCACCTCAATGTCCTTCTTGTATTGAGGGGCCCAAAACTGGACACAGTATTCCATGTGCAGCCTCACCAGTGCCGAGCACAGGGGGACAATCACTTCTCTAGTCCTGCTGGCTACACTATTTCTGATATGAGCCAAGATGCTGTTGGCCTTCTTGGCCACCTGGGCACACTGCTGGCTCATATTCAGCTGGCTGTTGATCAACACCCCAAGGTCCTTTTCCGCTGGGCAGCTTTCCAGCCACTCTTCCCCAAGCCTGTAGCGTTGCATGGGGTTGTTGTGACCCAAGTGCAGGACCCGGCACTTGGCCTTCTTGAACCTCATACAGTTGGCCTCGGCCCATCAGTCCAGCCTTTCCAGATCCCTCTGAAGAGCCTTTCTTTAGTTTGGTTCTTAAAGAGATTTAAAGAGATACGAAACAGGAAGTGAAGATTTTGTTAAGTTTAAAGAGGTCTAATTCTTACCTGAGACAGATCTGTCATGTGCTAAAGAAATAAGAGGCACATTGGCTTTCCAGCACCTTCTTCCGTTTCACCGTCATCAAATACATAAAAGGTTATGGATTCTGATTTTAGGTATCGGTCTAAATCTGCATTCATTGGCACTTGGAAATACATATGGTCATCTATTTGTGGGTTGTTGCTGCTAGGAATGATGGGAGTATCATGGTCTGCAAAATCAAAGAACTTGTAGACAACATAAGGATTTGGCTGAAGATGTTTTTTTCGGGATTGTAGATTGTTACAACATTTTATTGTAATGTGGAGTTCATTTAAATTGCCATCTGTTGAAGTGCTGACTTGGGCAGTTCTGAGTATCTGCTGCTTTAAATGAAAAAGAAGTTAAATTAAAAACATTAGAATTCTTATGATGGTGAATTCTAAGAACTATATAAATAGAACAATAACTGATTATTTCAATGACACTCCAACTACTGTCTAATTTTATATGTCAAAATATTACTTGTTCTATAAATACAATGACATCTCTCTTGGGTCATTGGTATGAGGAAATAAGAGGCTAATCCTTTCAGGTCTGTGATTATTTGCTTTATTCTTCTAAAGTTTTATGATCTACTTGTCGTTTGATTATCTACAAAGCAGTGAAGATCACAGTTTTAAGAGTGATTCTTATCTAGTGCCACTTTAAAGTTAAGGATTCTGATCTTGACAGCTATTCTGTGTCAAGAAAATTTTGTAACTGTAGTCCCTTTTATACATATACTTTTCAATAATTAAAATTGCACTGCATATTCCTCTGTTTTTTTCTTTCACATACCTACATAAACAATTTAAAAAAATTAGAAATCAACATGTGAAGAGTAATAATAAATGTTTGAAATAAAATAAAAAGCTCAATGATACAACAATTTTTTTTAATCACCTATCAGCATGGCTTGTACATACTCTGGAACCCATAGTTGGCAAACTGGGAAATTCATTTTAATAAAAATTAAAGAATTAGAAGAAAACAAATAACATGCCTATCTTAAATGAGTAATCCACATCTAAATTGATCTCAAAAGGCTCTTCTTTTTTACTGTAATATGTCACAGCTATTTTCATTAATTGTACATAATTATCTTGCTTGCAGAAGCCAGAGTTCTGTCTTCTGGTATATGGGGAAACATGTATCAATTTGATTTTGCATGATAAAATGTTAAACTATTTTGAGTAAATAATCCGGACTGAAATAGTTAATGAGAAAACCAAACATGACAGTTGAAGTCCTTAATGTAAAACCTTAAGACTACTATTTCTGGCTACATACAGAACTGGAAAAAAAAAAAAAAATTATAGCAGTTTATGCACAGATCACGTTTCCATGATTTCTGCAGCTATATAGGACAGATAATTTTATATGTATGTTTAACTAGTGAAAGCTTAAATTTTGGAACTCACAACTGAAGCTACTTTTGCAGCTGCAGATTGACAGAACCCTTAACATAATGTAACCATCTGCTATACATATATGACATTTTTCAAAACTGCGTGTTTCTAACAGCTCTGTAGAAGCTGTACCTCATTTCTGCCATTTTTCCAATTTTATTTTCTACTGTATTATCAATATATTTCAGTTGCCATGTTTGAATTTGCAATTTTACAATAATTACAACAAAATGCTCTGTTCCACATGCCTTACCTTTCAAGTGTGTTTGGATTGGTAACACAGCTAGAAATAACATAATCAAAAAATAGCAAAAACTAAATAACAAATCTTGGCATTTTAACAAATGGCCAGATTTCGCGAGTTACCTTTGATTCTTTTAAAAATCAGATTTAAAGCAAATGTTACAATGGTATCAAACATGAAGTTATTCAGAAAATACCTACACTGACCTTTAATAGAATTCATACAATAAACATACTTTTCAGATTACATCAAGGAATACATTGACAATCTACTATAATATAAATTTACATTATGGCATAATATAAATCAATAGAGTTACTCCAGACTTACAGCAATTTAAACAGCTATAGATAAAAAAAAATTTGCCTGTTAAAAACTCTAAAGTGTTTTAATTTATACATTTCAAACCAATTGTTTTATTTCTTAAACAATTTTTAAAGATGCCTGAAAGTCTCTTCTTTTTCTGTCTGTGACCCTTATTAAACATGATTATACAGTGCATTATATTATCAAAATTCTCTTCATTATCCAGCTAAAAAAAAAGTGAAATAATCTCAATCTCATAATATGTGAACATTAAGAAGTTTGAGACCTTTCTGAACAACCGTTTCACCGGTTATACTGATCTGATGCCCAGTTGGTTTAACATTCCTCAATATTGTACTAGAACAAAATATTAACAAAATCTGGCACTTAGAGGCTAAGAAAACTAAATATAATAATTTCAAATATTCTAGTGACAATTTCAATAAAAATAAATAACAAGTTTAAGACCTTGTCTCTTCAGGAAAGCTATAATTCAACTGGTTCTTTATCTCTTTATATGAAAAACACGTCATTCAGCTGCTAAAGGTATTTTCCAGTTCAAAAACCTTTAACTTTGTTAACCTTGAACATATCAAGACTTGAAGTAAACTATTTGAACTGAAAAAGTAATTTTGAACAGTTTTTCTATCAAAACTATGAAGTACAAGCCCAAACATACCTGGGATGGTTGTTCGTGTTCCCTAAAATCAGATGTTGCGTACCCCAGAGCCTTAGACCTCTCCTTGTAGAGACTAATAGCTTGATCCATAGGAACTCGTAACCTGATCCAGTATTCTATGGTACCATAATTTTGAACGTTTCCTTTGATTCCTAAGGAATAAATACATATGGGATTGCATTAATTTTCTTTTCAACATTAAAGTACTTAAGTCAAAAGCTAGTAAATGCCACAAATTAAAAATTAGTTACTTGTGACTATGCATTATGACAGTGTTAGTGACACGAGATGTGCAGTTCATGTTAGAAACAACTCCTGTGGCTCTACATGTAAGATCCAAAACTGAAACATGACCATTTTTTCATATTGTAATCTGCAATATTTAACATCCAAGCTATAGAGTCAAGTCAAGTTCATTATTTTAATGTCTTTAAGGCAAATAATTTCAGGACAGTTTTGTATGTCAACAGTTGGAAATGTCCCATAAAGTGGTATGCACTTTAAATTATTGGCTAAAATACCACTTTATAATGGCTTACTAAATCAGATTTTTGACAAAAGCGGGCAATTAGAGGTCTCTGAATATACTGATCTGACAAAATACTTCTAAAAGAACAAGTAAGCAGCACAGAATATTATGTACTTCTTAAAAAAGTCTTGTCTGGGATAACTTAAAATTATTTTAAACCACTGAATTAAATTAAAAGGAAAAAAATGCACAAAACCTAAACCAACTCCCCCATAGATTATGCTACTGTATGGAATATTATTAACTGTAATCACCATCATTTGCACCTTTTTGATGCCCTACGACTATTATATGAAGACCTCTGACTCATCAGTTTAATTTACAAACACTGGAACCACTTCTTCCTTTATTTATTGATAAGGAATGACAGGATATATTCATGACATTTGGGCCAGATATAAAGCACTGATGTTTGAAAGTCTTACAATGCAGAATTGTTTTTGTTTTTAATGTATATTTACCAAGCAGAGAAATTGCATATACAAAAGCAGAATAATTTAATTTAATTTAAATATATTACAAGACTTCACTGAAATTACTGTATGTTTCACAGTTGAAGAGTTGAAGCAAGCAGGGCCCCCTTGTATCAATAACAGTCTCAGAGGATGAAAGAAACTTGTATTAAACAACTCAAACAGAATTAACAATACATAAAATAAAGCAAAATGAAAAAGAATATCATTCTTATTTTAAAATATCTTCTCTACAGTATTCATGGAGAAATTCTAACATATGAATAGTACTAGAATGCAATCAAGTACACTGCTCTACTAACTAGTTTTCTCCATATTGTTTTTGTATAATTCTGTTGAGTAAGGTGATACTATCTTTTATTAAAATTCTTTACATGTGTAGTAGTAACACTTTGCAAGTAACCCTTATACAAGACAAAGAATCACTTGCTGTTATCAGACAAGATTCTCTAATGCCATTTCCAGCATGTCACATAGTTCTAATGTCATGTACTTCATGACCACTGTATTAACATCATCTTTGTCCTCAGCCACCATGAGCAAAATTGCACCTGTCAGAGCTTTCTCACAACTGTTGGCAGAATCACCACAACATGCTGCATGTCCAACAGGAAATATCATGGTGTGTAAACCCTTTTTCTTTTGAAATAGTAATACACAAATTCATTGTTGGCCAAATACACATTACTTAATTGTCACTTACAATACTACATCAAACAGAATACTTTTTGATATGTTAATTACCAACTAAATTTGCTGTGCTGTAGATCTTCCCATTGTTTTCCAAGATTTGATGGAACTTCAGTTGACAATCAGCAACTGTTTCATAATCTGTGCCATATGCATGATGAACCTCAAGTGTGATGCTGTTTCGCTGTATATAATACAAGAAGCAGTCATCAGCCTGCACAAGATACTGAGAAGTGAAGTTATATGATGGGGTACGCCCATAAACTACTGGGGTTGTCTGAAGTTCGAAGTCATAGAATGCATAAGTACAAAAAGTTGCAGGTTCATGGTCACCAAAAGCATGCATAGCTCCAGAAGAGAAGATCACTTTGCTGATATGAATTTCAAAAAGGTTCTCTCCTCTTTCTAAATGTAAAATTTCATCAAATTCATCCACTGGATCGCCTGGCAATATTTCTGGTCTAGATTTATGCGGTTTTGTACCATAGACAATATCTCTTAGTTGGGCTGCAACAAATAAAATAAAATAGAGCTAAAATACGACCATCTTGTTTAAAAATCAAATACAGTTAATGACTGAGTGGAGAAGAAAAAAGCGTAATTCAATTTTATTAACAATGTTACTTTCTTAAAGGTGTCACCAAACAAGAAATCACACATTTAAAATCATACATCTACTGCTCATTTAGCACACTGACAACAATCAAGAATATCTCCACAATGGAACTGCTTCAATATACATAAAAATAGACACAGGCCCCTAAGAATTAATAACAGATTACAAGGGACTTAACAAGCAAAAATTCAGAAGTCTCACACAATGATCAAAATAAGTATCACTACGCAAATGTAGCAGAGACTTAAGATACATATTTTTGGAGGGTTGAACTAAATTTGCCAGGGAAAGAAAGAATACATCTGACTTCAACCTCTGTAATATCTTGAGTGGACAGAACTATCAGCAAAGACCTTTACATGTTGCCCAGCCTCACTGGTGGTAAATGGTGAACAAATGCTTACAAAGTTAGGACATAAATCATCACGCAGTCCTTTAGTACACGGGGTGCAACTTGGAGACAAAATATAAAAATTGTTATGACAATTGGGGTTCGTAAGATATCCTATTTCAGGCTTCCTATGCACCTTTTACATACTGAAGCCATTGAAACAGCATTTTAAATTCATCATATTGAAATATTCCGTAGGTATATTATACCATGACTTTGGGATTTTTAGCAACACATAAAATGATTATGTAATGATAGAACAGCAAAATAAAAGGTTGACCATAAATGTATGATTTATTTAAAAAAACAAAAGAATAAAAAGTGTCTATGTTTGGTAGTTTTATTCTTATTCAGCAATAGCGGCAGCATAAACTGCTTTGTTGAATTTTGTTTGATTAATAACTTTATAATTTAAGTCAAGGAAACAGCACACAGATAATTTTCCATGAAAGAACTGACCTTTCTACTAGTTTTAGGAATGGAAAAGTGTTTCAACTGAAGAACAAATTTACAACAATAATTTGCAAGAGATAAAATATAAAAAAAATTAGAGAAGAATATACTTTACACAGACCTTCTAGTTTTCTGATGCGTGCAGCTCTAATATCAAGAAGATGGACATATTGTTCCAGTTTTAACTCATAGTCTTTCTGTAGACTTTGCATCTTCTGTGTCACTGCTTCTACTTCAGTCTGAAAAAAATTTGCATGTAAAAAGGACTTTTGAGGCTTGTCTGCACTGATGCTGCACATGCTTTTGGCTACAAATTAAAATAGTTAGATTTGAGGAAAGAACATTTAGAGTACACAAAAATAGAAGCAATTGTTAGTTAGCAATACAGCAATCAGTTCGGATTTCAGCAAAATCTAAAAACATTATTAAGAAAAACAGACTAGCTATTCTTTCAGGACAATGTTCCTAATAGTTTCTTTAATGATTTTGTTATTTTAAACTTAGATTAATTGAATGAAAATTCAAAAATATGATCTGCAAAACCCAGCACAAGAGAGTAAAAGCAGAGTGTTATGTAAAAGGAAGCTTATTTGATAAGTACACTTACTATTTTTCCTGTGAGGACCTGATAAGAGCTCAGAGATAATCCCAAGAAGGCATGGTTTGAGGGCTCTGATCAGGGTGAGTTAAAAGACTAAAGTTATAGTCATTTTGATCTTTTTAAAAAATACTTTCAACAACAGCAAATCTTATGTTAATTTACCTGTAAACAGACTGGCTTTTCTGATGAATTTGCAAGTCTTAGTTATGACAAATTCCAGTGCTAGTAATGTTAAAATCTTATTATCAGGTTACTTTCCAGTGTGAGTAGAGTTTAGTACCTGGTAATCTTTGTTAATTTTGTGCTGCACAATTAACATATTCCTTGTCTTTTCAAGTTCTTGCACTGTTTCTGCATGCGTTAATTGCAGCTCCCGCATGGAGTGTTCTAAATCTTTATGGATATCATCATCTACTTTTTCCAAAAACATCAGGTCCCCATTCTTCTGCTGCTTTTGAACCTGGAGCAAATTTGAAAAATTACTAGAAAAAACTTTTCCAAAATATTTGGATGTATTTGTGCCTGGTTAAATGCAACACTAGGATATCATTTTGGAACAACAATAACATGGTAAGATTAACTTTGTAAATTCTGAGCATGTGGTAACACAAAAAAAAAGGAATGAGGTTGACCAGTAAGTGTCAGGATTGTATTCAGCAATGTAATCTTGTGATTATCAGGAACCAATTAAAATGTATGAGATATTCAGAAGCAATCACTCCTGTCTATCCAATGAAAATACAAACCCCTTAATATATTTGCCTTTTATATAATTAATAATCCGTCAGTAAATGTACAAAACCTGAATTATTATTCTCAAGTCTACACTGCTTCTGTTACTAATACTGGGGTTTTAATTTTCATCTAGGTTTTGCGTTTTTTCTTTCTTTTTTTCATTATCATTATAGAATTATCATTTGCATTTCAGTAGCAGAAAAAGGTTCTATTTACAGTAAACACTTCCTCAAGAAAATAAAACTTAAGTCACTGGAACAGTGGAAACTTAATGCAAACTTATTTTTTCACTGATTTCTTCCCCCTACCCCCACGTCATTTTCAGTTTTGCTGTAAGCAATAAAAATTACAACTTATGTGCAAAAAAAAAAAAAAAATTGTAACATTTTCTGGGTGGTTTTGTTCTTCTGTTTAATAAACAAAGAGAAGTTGCTAAGCATCACTGTATCGCATTTTAGAACTTCCATGCTTATAGTACGTTCCCATAAATTACAGAATTAATAAACAAAAATGTTTTTTTAATAAACATTATAGAAAGAACAAGATGGTGTGATAAGTCATTTAACTGAGAAAAAGTAAGGTTTTTTAAAAAATGCTTGTGAATCTGGTTTAATTCACTTTTGATGTTATAACGAATTATATACATAACTCTAGATTCCATCCTGGCAATTTTTTCATCTTCCCTTCTGCTTCACTGTAACTGAAAAATGACAAAAGTGCACATATGAGCTTGAAGCATTAACTACTAAAAGACGGACAAATAATTCAGCCCTTGAAAATCCCAGGCATTGTGTAGAAAACATGTAATGGTCAACCAAGGGTTTAAAAAAAAAAAAAAAAAAAAAAAAAGAGAAAAAAAAAGAAGAAATGCAAAATATATAGAATCACAGAATGTTTTGGGTTGGAAGGGACCTTAAAGTTCATCTAGTTCCACCCCCCCCATACGCTCATTCTTTCTAACCTACCTTTATAAGCAAGAGGGCTTCACTGAGTTCTGCCACATCAATATCACTTTCCTGAAACAGAAATACTTAATGAAAAGGTGTTATCAGATGTGAACGAATATCGAAGAAATACATTCAGAATAACAAGATGCATTCTCACTATACATGACATTTTGCTTGATATCATGAATAAACAAACACTGTTATATTTCTGTATTCTTTTACTTTCAAGAAGTATTTGCAATATGCATAAAACACAGAATGGGTTTTTTTGCTTATAGTCTAAACAGAAACAGAGTTCACCTTGGTCAAAAACTTCACGCGATTTTTCAGTTCATCTAGTTGTTGCTTATGTTCCAGATAGCATAGCTGCAGGTCTTTATTCTCTTGCATCAGCTTTTCCTTTTGGTCTTAACATAGAAAAAGAACAAAATATTCTACTTAAACATAATTATAAAAATTATAAACTTGTTTTTTCATATTAACTTATGCATGAAAATTTTATTTTAAAATGTAGAAACTAATTTATTTTGTACCGGGAAATCCTTGGTATTAACAAACAGAAAGAGAGGGCTAGAAAACTGCTCCTCTGATCTGGTATAGGTGTACGGATTAAAAAAGCAAAACATTCTTACTTTCATTACAAGGGAACCTACAGCATCAAAAAATCTACATGCTGTGTATTTCTGAACGGAAAGATATAGAATCATAGAATCATACAATCGTTTAGGTTGGAAAAG